GTTCCTTGCATTTTGAGGAGTGCTGAGTAGGCGTGAAAGGCTATGCACGTGTTTGAGGACTAGGGAGGTCACCCTGTCCTTCCCCAGTCTGCTTACACTTGTCCCTCCATTTGATGTCTTCACACTCACAGCCAGACGCTTTAGAAGGTTTTCCTAGACTTAGGGCAGCGTCTGTTCCCTGCACTCATCTAAGGTGGGGCTCACGCCAGCCAGGCCCTTGGCAAGGCTCTGCCCTGGCCTCACTCTGGAGAGGTCGCTGCCGCCCAGCCCCCCAGTCCGGCCCTCCGCCCTGGCTCACCCTACAGACTCGGCAGTGGAATTCTTGGGGAAGCTTTTCATAGGAAGGTGCCCAAGCCCCTCCCTGCAGCGAGAAACAGCCCTTCCAAGTTCTGGTCTAGGGGAGGAGGTAGAATTACCAGCATAACGCACCAAGGCAGAGATGCAGGTAAAGAATATCTCAAGTTCAACAAGAATGTCATTGAATATTTCATGACTTCCTAATGGACAAAGACAGAAAAGAGTAGCTTAAGTAAGAGAGTGAGGTGGGGTCAAGTACGAGCCGATGATTACCAGGGCTCTGTCACACACTCAGGAGAGTGTCTTGTGAGGTCCCGCAGGGCCTGCCGTCCTGGGCTGATCAAGCACAGGAAGTAAAGGGAATAAGGCAGGTCTCCCAGTGAGCTCTGCAAGGTGAAATTAGCAGTAATGCAAAGTCTGGAATTGTGCTCCACTCCAGGGTGGGAGACCTGGCTTGGAAGTTGAACCCCACCTGGGGTGACAGGGAGCCCAGCCACTCAACAAGTCACTGCAATCCTGCATGACAGTGGGACAAAGGCAGCCCATTCTCCTGAGTCCTCCCCGGGAGGCGGGGGTCCTGCTTTCGGCCAGGGACCAAGACTGCCTTGGTCACTTGAAGTGAGTTCAGGTCTCCTCACCTGTCCTTCGACAGACGGTGGGCGGTGCTGCAACACTGTGTGGAGAACAGGAGACTCGGGGAAGGAGGGAGCCACCTTCCAAACGCCGGAGGGTTCTCATGGGTCTGTCTGGGACACCCCTGCCCGCCGGCTGCAGGCCCCTCTGTGGGCTCGGGTCCCTGCCCCCTCTGTGGCTTCATTCCTTAGCACACACCTGCCCCTGGGAACCCTAGGCTCCAGCATCCCTGCTGCTCTCCTGCCCTTTCCTCAAACAGCCCCCTCAGGTCCTCTGCGCCTTGTCCCCTCTAGCTGCGATGCCCTGGCCACCACCCCCCCCCCCCCGCCTTCTCAGCTCCTCCTCGCCCAGGTGTCCCTCCTCCAGGAGCCGCATGCCAACACCCCAGCCTCCATCGGGTCCCCAGACCATGCCCTCATGGCCCTCCTGGGGCCATGTCTTTACCACAGCACTGACCCCAATTTAGAATCGACTTAGCATTTTATTATCTGCCTCGCATCCATTTTCTAAACCATGAACTCTATGAGATCGGTCTTGTTCCCACCGCCCAGCACAAGGCCTGGCCTGCTGCAGTTACTCAAGAAATGCTGGTTTGGTGAAGGAATGAGTAAATGCATGACTCCATCCGGTGGGAGCTACAGTGGGAAAAGGAACTGGTTAACCCATTAGGCTGTCCCAGTTTGGGACCGGCTGCCTTGGGAGATGGTCCCTGGTGGCGGCATGGAGGCAGGGGCCAACCGCATGGAGAGACAAAGGCTCCGACCTCTAAGGAACCTTCCAGGGTACAGGCTCTGTCTCCTGCACAGCTCCAGGAAGAAGTCAGTAATTTGGGGATGGGGAGGAGCAGGAAAGAAGAAAATAACCTTTGGATGTCAGGCCAGTTTAAATGTTGTCAGGAAACAACATTTATAGCACCGAGCCTGGCTGGGACCGTGGAGGAGGGGGGCAGCTCTGGGGACGGGTCTTGAGTGGGAGCAGAGCTGGGGGCCTGGACTCTGGAGCCCAGGCTGCAGCTGCCCATCCCGCCTCTTCACGCACCCCCAAAGGCCCAGAGGACCGTGAGGACAGGGGCAGGTCTGAGCCACCTGGATCCCCAGCATTCCCACACGCGAACCTCCATCATATCTGCCCGCAGCCAGGTCCGGCTTCACAATTCGTGGGGCCCAGTGCTACATGAAAATGCAGAGCCCCCCGCTCAAACATATGAAGAGTGTTTAAATGGTGACAACGGAGCATTAGACCAAGCATGGGACCCAGGCAGCCCCCAGGAGGACGCTGCCTGTGGGCCCCACGCAAGGACCGAGAAAAAGAGGTCGGACTGAGGCCTCACTGCAGTGCTGACGCCGGGCTGGCTTCTCACTCCGCTCAGCAGAGGTCTTAACGTGTAAATATGAACAGACACAGGGGGCGGGGGGTGGCTGAGCACAGAGAAGACGCTGGAGGTCAAGGTGGAGTGCTCCTGGGAGGCGGCAAGCGCAGCCAGCTGCACGAGCGACTTCCTCAAAACAGGAGTTAAGAAAAATTATCCTAAAACTTGGAAATAAGGCGGTGGGGGCAGGGGGGTGGTATTTCTGACAATGTCCTTTCGGAGTATTATTTAACAGACTCCTCTGAGGCTGATTTCATTAGGGAAATATACGTTTGATTCGTCATTTTCTGTTAATTAAAGGTCTGGCTGCCGTGAATCTACATGTTAACTTGTACCTTTTTATTAGCGATTTCTCCCCAGCAGGAGAGAGAACTCCAAAGGGTACGGTTTTCTAACCCTGTAGATCGTTAAGCGGCTTTGATTCTGACCTAGCGCTCCCATCCCCACGTTCTCCGATGCTCATTTTCCAAACGCTGCTAATTACCATCCTGCTGGTCCCTCATTAATGAGTCGAATAAATCCGTGGTACATCTTCCTTCTGAGATTGCTGTGAGGGCTGTCTTTTGAAAACTTTTTGGAACTTACATTTTGACTTTGGGATCAGGAAAGGACTTCTAAGGAGCCTCATTAGGATCCGTGAGGAGAATCGAGAGACTATTGAATCCAGGAAACAAGAACAGGCCCACAATGCTCCGAAAAATAAGAAATCCAGGACAAGAAGCCATCTCGGGAATTAACATGGTGCAGAGGAGGCGGACACCTCCAGTGGGGGAGGGGAGAGGAGGGGGGAGGAGGGGAGAATGCGGTTGGTGGGTCGGAAGAGGGTGGCCAAGGACCCTCTCCCAGCACAGAGGAGATGGGCGAGGCCAGAGAGGAAAACGGTGCAGAAGGATGGAGAAGGGAAGCACCGTTCAGTGGGGACTTCAGGAGAGGCCAGAGAAGAGAGAAAAGAATTTTTTCTGACCTTCAGCTCTAAAAGGCCCCCCAGGGTGCCTTTTCCAGCAAGACCCCCCCACCCCCTGAAATGCCTGGATTCTGACGTTAAGGAGAAAAGCCCCACAAGCTTCTAGCAAGAAAAGAGCGGGCTGTCTCCCAGGAAGGAAGAACCAAGCCTGTACTGGACTCACCTGCGACACTCCGCACAGAGTTGAGTAGCGCTGTGTGCCAGGTTTTGAGGGCCAGGAATTATGAGACTCAGACAAAAAACTGTCCTTCACACACAAAGAGCAAAGACAAACATGTCTGAAGAGGCAGGGCTGAAAAATGACACGATCCAGACACCGGTTCTTTAAAAACAAACAAGCAAATGACCTAGAGATCCTCCAGCCAAACCGGAATGAGGATGGGAACGGGGAACTTGACCATGGGACGACCAGGTTCACAAGAAACCACGCGAACCCCACAAACCTCCCAGTGAGGTCTCAATCATTGTTGGTGATGAGGCTGTAAAATTGAATGTGGTTCCTAGAAAGGATGCTTAGAAGAGGTGTAACTCTTTTTTAATCCTCAACCAAGGATGTTTATTGATTTTAGAGAGAGGAAGAGAGAGAGAGAAAGACACTGATCGGTTGCCTCCTGTTTGCACCCGGACAGGGCATCAAACTGCAACCTAGGCACACGCCCTGACCAGGAACTGAACCCACGACCTTTTGGTGTCCAGGATGACGCTCGACCAACTGAGCCACCTGGCCAGGACGAGAGGTGCAACACTTCTTTTTAACACTGGTGGACACGTCATTTACCTCTGGGACATGTGTGGGATTTCACATAGACAGAGTGGTACCGACTCCCCTCTCAGCCCTGTACCCATCTTAGCGGTATCTCATACACACACTCACACACTCACACACACACACGTGTGCACACACACCCATAGGCCTCCAGCCTCTCCCTCGCCCCCTGTCACTCCTGCCACGGTGACTCATCACTGGGCCCGCTCAGCCTTCAGCTCTGTGTCCTGTCCTCCGGAGAGCCCTCATGCCCCCGAGGCCAGCTCCGAGACACTCTCAGAAAACCTGGACACTTTGCCCAGAGCCCTTGTCTCATTATGTGTGACACGTTCACCCACGGGTGTACCTCCCCAGGCGGTAGCCGGGAAGGACAGGGCCTCCGTCTGGGTCTCCTGTCCTCGGTGCCCGGCTGACCCCACAGTGCGGCAGCGCTGGTACTGAGGAGCCCACCCCAGCCTTGGTGGGTGGGTGAACGTGTGACTGAGCCGCCAGCCCGGCTGGACCCCAGAAAGCAGGACCAAGGCACAGGCGTTCCCAGTGGGCCCAGCTATAAGCTGGCCTCTGACTGCAGCTGATGTCTTGGTTGAAACAGTCATAATTTGGAGTCAAGCTTGAATCTGTGCTTATCTCTGACGTGCTGAGTGATCTAAGATAAGAATAATAATAGCAGCTAACATCTATTGGTTGCTCATTGAGGTAGCTTCTATTATTGTCCCCATGTTACAGATGAGGAAACTGAGGTTTAAAGAGAATAACTGGCTTTCTCAAGGTCATTGGGTTAGTTAGTGTGAAACACTCTCAGTATCCACCAACTGCACAGGAGGACACATGACTCACCAGAGGGGAGGGAGGAATGTCTGTCCGTCCCAACGTCACCACGTAGCTTCGTCATTGTCACCAGGAAGACCCACAGATCACTGACATTGTCTAGCGAACACGAGAGGCTCAGACCTGCCCGGCGCACTACCTACCCAGCCATGACGATGAAGAAGTCCAGTCGGTTCCATGTGTCCCCAAGGTAGCACTTCTTGCCAAAAATGCCCAGGGCTACCATCTTGAGCACCATCTCCATGGCAAAGAAGACAAAGATGAAGTCATCAAAGACCTGCAGGGCAAGAGGAGGGTGAGAAGGAGGTACAGGGTGAGGTTCCAGAGGGGGACACCATGGGTGGGTGGGGCATTGTGGGCGGGGCAGGGTGGCCTCACCTGCAGGATCTTGCATCGGTCGGACAGGCAGTCCATGTCATCGCACGGCTGGTACATGCCCAGTGTCACGCAGTTCAGCAGGATCACCAGCATGCTGACACACTCAAACCATGTGCACACAGAGTCAAGGACACAACAGTGGGGACTGAACCGTGGCCATGCGGGCAGAGTGCACCCTGGACGTAATACCCCCCACCCACCACCAACAGGCATACACCCCTCTCCCGCCCCACCCCCCCTCCTGTCCTGAATGGGGCGGGGCCCGAGTTCTCAAAAGGCCTTGGAGCCAGCCTACCCCCCTCACAACAGACATGGCCACACGTGCCAAACCCCACTGAGCCCCCATGTGCCAAGACGCGCACCCCACCTTCTGGGCCCATCCTGAGAGTTGTCTGCAGGCTCAGGAAGGAAGGGTCCCCTCAGGCTCGGCTGGCCGGCCATCCCTGGGCTACCCATGCCTCTCCCCTCCCCTGCCCCACACCCCTCCACCCCTGCCCAAGGCCTGGGGCTGGAGCCTGCAGGGGCCAGCGGGTGTGGCTGAGATTGGCTGGAGAGCCCTGACACTCTGTCGTCGTCGCCTGTCACTGGGTCAGAGCTCATCTCCAGGCTCCGGAATGTCTGCACCCAGGCCCTCCCCAGCCCCTGCACCAGGTGAGGTGGGGCCCAGCCTCCTCAGGTGCCCAGGCGGAAAGTGCCCTGTGCGCAGGGGAGGCTGGGACCGTCTGGGCGGCGCCTCCGGGGCCCATGCCTGGAATCTGGATGAGCAGGGTCCCCCAGGTCCCCCTGGCTCCCCAGCCAGGCCTTCTCCTCGAAACCATCCTCCTTCCCTTCCCTCCGGCCGCTCCTGCCCAGTCTTGGAGCACAGCCGGCTGAGACCCAGACCCGCCACCCCAACCCACCTGGGCTCAGAAACAGAGAAACAGGCCTCAGAGAACCTGCGCCTCAGGCTAAAGAGGACGACCCCAGGGAAAATGGATGTCCGTAGGTGCTCCGTCTTGAAGAGGAGGGGTGCTGATGGACCACGCCACCCACTGCCCACCTGCACCACGCCACTCCTGCCCCCAGACACCGAGCCACAGGTTTGGACAGCCACTCTTGTGCTATGAAGGCAGAAAACCCCGAGGGCCTGCATCTGAAGTCCAGTCCCAGTGCTGACCAGGTCCGAGGCCTCAGGAAAACTCTGCAATGTCCCCACTGGAGGACCGGGAGCCTCCTCGAGGGGCCACACGGCCTGCCCTGGCCCCTCCGGCCCACCCTCCCTGCAGCAGCAGTGAGCGGCTGAGAACGTTGGCAAGAGGTCCAAACCCAGGCACAGGTCCCACCTCGGTCAGCAGAGCCTTCAGAGCCCTCCCTGCAAGGCCCTGCCCACTGCACCCCCAGCCCATCTCCTCCTCCTGCCCCCACCCTGGCTCTCAGGCTCATTAGGCCTGCTCCACCCCAGGGCCTTTGCACCTGCTGGTCCCCTTACCTGGGAGACTCTGCCCAAGGCCTTCAAGAACTGCTCTTTCTGACCTTTTAGCATCAGTGTCCCCTCCTCTGAGAGACCCCCACCCAATCTCTCCCCCTGCAGTGGCCCCCCTCTCCCTGTTTTATGGTCTCTTTGAGCACTTACGCTCTGAGGGTGACCTGTGGCCCGGCTCCTTGTCTTTACGCACAGCTTGAACCACACTCCTAGGGGACAGGGGGTTTGTACTCGCAGCTCTGATGGTGACAGGTATCTAGTAAAAGTCTGTTGCATAAATAAGTAAATCTCCCTGGGCCCTGCCCACTCTGACGTCCAGTGATTCTTCAGTGTCTCTGCAGAGAAACCCTCCCTCCTCAGTCTCACAGCCCTGCTGTGAGCTGGATGAAGCCACATGGCCAGACCCCAGCCTGATGGGTGACTGACCTGGTTGCCCTGGCAACAGCCTCCCTCCCATCCCTGGGCCCTGGCTCACCTTGGGATGCTACCTTCCTGCTCCTCCCCCTCAGACCCTCCTTGCCCCAGCCCTGCTCCTTCCTGCCCCCCCACCCTGCTGCCATTCTCTCACCACAGCCTGTAATTAATTTGAGTCGCTGCCAGGGCCCCTTCTAGCCTGAGCATCGCTCCAGCAGCAGCTTCATCATTAATTAACTTTTTTGAAGTTCAAACGTTCTAATTACCAGTGAACCTCCCCCACCCCCTAGCCTTTCCCCCCCCACCCCACCCCACCCCCATCTTACTCTCTCGCCTTTCAGCCTCCTCCTCTGCTCCCTCTGACCTTCCTGCCAGTTTCAAGTTTAAAACATACTCAATAGGGGCCTCTCAGGAGCCTGGCATTCCCACTTCTTCCTCACCAGGACCCTGAGCAGTAGAGGTCAGCAGGCCCATTTTACAGATGAGAAAAACTGAGGCTCAGAGAATCTAGGGCCCTCTCCTGGATCACATGGCTGGGAAGTACAGAGCTGAGACTCACACAGGCGTGCTGGACTCCAAGGCCAACATTCCCCTCTGCAACGCATGGCCTGTCCCTGCCTGTGACCACCCTCCCTCCCCTGAGTCTTCGGCCCATCCTCCCCAGGAGCACCCAGCCACTCTCTGCCCTTCTAACCCATCTGCCCACACAGTAAGCAGGCCAGCTGCACGCCCAGTACAATCAGAGCACTTTGCAAGTGTTACCTTGTTTAATCTTTGCAGTACTGTTAAAAATCCCATTTACAAAGGAGGAAACTGAGACACAAAGGGGAACGTGATTTGCCCAGAGTCACCAGCTGAAAAAAGGCAGAGCTGGGCTACAAAAACCAGAGCCTGCTTTTCTTGTCCCTGAGCTGTTCTGCCACCGCCAGATCCATCTGCCTGAAGCACAGCTCCGAGGAGGCCTCTCCCCTGTTCAACTGCCTTCCAGGCTCCCAGCACCCTCCTTGGCCTGACACCCAAGGCCTCCTAGACTCTGACCTTGACATGCACTGAACTTCATGCTGTCCCCAGGCATACTCTGCATGCACTTTCCCTTCCCTCCACCATTTCAGCCAGACAAACTCCTACTCATCCTTCTCCATCAAGTTCATTGTTACCTCTTCTTAAAGCTTCCCTTGGAGCACCTTTCCCCACTCACAAGGTGGTGGTTCAACCTCCTCTTTGGAAATGCTCCCTGATCATCTGGTCTAGCCAGTGTCATAGTAATGAACTTGGCAGTAACCCCAGAGACTGTGTAGCAGGCCCCTGGGGACATGGTCCTAGTTCTTATCACAGCCCACAGGGGGATAGATGAGGAAACAGGCCTGGAGAGCTGGAGTGACTTGTCCAAGGCCACACAGTCAGTGAGCAGCCCGAACGGTGTGACTCAGTGGGGCCCGGACCTGGTGCTGCCTCTCTTGCTCGTCCAGCTCGCCCCTGGCACTGAGTCCCTCACGGGGGCAGATGGGTCGGCTTTCACCTCTAGATAGCTCAGCTGCAAACACTCAGACATGGACAGTCCCAGCCCTGCCCTGAGGCGCTCGGGGAAATCCCAGATGGCAGAGTCTGGGCCCCTTCCAAGAGCCTGCGAGGCTCAGAAGGCAGGCCAGAGCCCGCGTCGCTGCCGGCGGCTCCTGACATGCTCCCTACAGGCCGGGGGATCAAAGGCAGCAGCCCGCCTTGAAGCTGAACCGCACGGAGAGAGTCTCGGTCTGCGGGCTGCCGGACTCCACAGCCTGGCGGGGTGCCTGACGCTTCACCACTAGCCACTGAAGAACTCCCTGAGGGCACTGCTGGACCAGCTCTGGGACAGCCTGGGAGGGGCAGAGGCCCCAAGGGCACGGTACAGGGTTTCTGGGTACCAGAGAAGGTAAGGGCTTCAGTGCCAGCTCCGTGAGGGCAGGGGGTCTTCAATGACTCCCCACCACCTCTCACAGCAAGGCTCGAAGCCCCCCACCTGGCATCTGAGACCCTGCAGGTAGGACCCTGCTACCTTCTTCCTTCATCGCTCAGACCCTCACTTCTGTTGGGGTGACCTTGTCACAAAACACCCCCACCAAGGTCCTCACGAAGCATCTGGTCCAACTGCCCCAGGTGGGGCACAGAGGCAGAGAGCCCTCCGAGACACAGAGAACCCAAAGGGAAGTAACCCTCAGACAACAACCCCCCACCCACGGGGGTCCTGAAACCCCACATTTCTCCAAACGCCCAGGCTCCGCAGGTGTGCCATCTGCTCAGCATAGCCACACTTGGTCATTTGAGGCTGATGAGGTCCCTGAGGAGCAGCACGGGTGCCTCTGAGCAACACAGATGTGGAAACACACCCACAGCAGCCCAATCGATAGTACCACTGGGAGGTGAAGCCTTTCCAAACAACCACCTGGCTGGTGGGGGACAAACAGCCACAGGGGCCTTGGGGCTGCTGTGAGCCCCCACCTCCACCCCCCCCAGCCAGGGTGTGCCCTGGCTCAGCCCCACCTCCAGGGGCCAAGGCCCCAACCGCACCCCCATCCAGTCCCCCCTGCTCTGCTGCCAGTTCACAGGTCCTCAGAACTGGGGCCAAGGAGCCCAGCAGTGAATCTATGAGCATGTATTGAGTGCCTGCTGTGTACCAGGCACCGGATCAACAACAGCGAAAATGGCACCAATGGCAAACATTTCTCAAGTGGTCTTGAGCATTTTGGGCCAAGGAGCTTTCTCATCAAACTGCATGTATCACCTCATCTGAACCTCACGGCACGCGCCCGAGGCAGGGAGCCCAGAGGCCCTGAACAGAAGGCCCCGCAGCCACAGGAGTCCAGAACCACCCCTCTCGCTGCCCGCTTCCCCTGTAACAGGGCCCGGGTCTCTCGCTCTTTGTCCTCAGGAGGGGAAAACACACCTCACCCTCAGAGGCCTGAGTGCCAGCATTGCCGGCTGATTACCTAGCACGACCCTGAGTAGGAATCAGAGATGCTGCCCCAGCCCCTTGGGCGGATGTCTGCCCCGCAGCTTCCCTCAGCCTTCGGAAAACTCTGGCTGCTCAGGCCTGGCGGTGTGGAGTCACCCCAGAACCTAAACGAAGTTCCCCGAACCTGGCAGGCGCTACTGTTACCCCATTTTACAGATAAGGAAACTGAGGCACTGAGAGCTGGTCCAGGGCCCCAATCACACATAGTCGCCCTGGGTTCACACAGCTGATACGTGGCAGGGGCAGG